CATTGTAAATGATGCTCTGGTTACAAACTACTCAGGTTACTTGACCGAGGGTTGCCATGATAAACAGACACATACCAACCCAAAATGCCCCACTCAAGTGAGTACGGTGGCTGTATTGGTTCAAAAAGCATTTTTTTCATATGTGTATAGTCCAGAAAATAATTTGAAAATGTTCTCACCACAAGAGAACCACTCTAAAGTTTATCTGGATTCATACCAAGACCACATCAAGCAGGTTTCAGACAACCTTTGGTCCGGTTCTTGCTTGCTCACCAGCTGAGAGGAACCAAACTAAAAGTGTTGGTTCAAATTAATCGAAGTAAGGTGTGAAAGAACCTTTGGAATGCAGCACATGCTATGGGTTTGACAAATATTGAGATTCTCACCAGAAGTAATAGGTCATCCAGGACCTTCTAGCTTACTCTTTCTGGATTCTATGATTTGAATGTACCACATGGCTCCCCCCAAAAAATGACCCTCAGAACTGCATCCGTAGTTTGCGGAGCTGATAGAACAGGCAGAGTCCCAATAGTGAAACTCTTCCCCAAAAGTTGACTCATGCATGATTTTTGCATCAAGATATAGTTGTGTGAAAAATCTCCAAAGCCGAAAATAATCTTAAAATGCCCTTTGCCTTTTAGTACATCAATTCTAGACAGCAAGCTGAATTTGCCGTCAACAACACAACTTCCAAAGAAAACAATTAGCTACATAGGATGCAGTAATAAAACAATATCGAGCTAAAACAATATCAACTGTGATTGGCTGATTTCCCGAGACATCAATTGTGCTGTATTTTTTAAAGCTACTGTGCATGACAATTCCATTTCTTAAGTTTCAGTTTTCAAGAGTGAAATAGAAAACGTCTTGGGACACAAAAAACATGTGCATTCCTCAAAACTTTAATCACACCCCTGGAGTCACATGAACTGAATCTGTGCATTTCATAAAGAAATGAAATGACATGAATGTTTTCAGAGGTTTATTGTTTTTTTATGTTTTTGTTTTTTTAATATGAACTAAAGCTTTGGGTGAAATGCGTTTTTTTCTTTTTCTTTTAGCAGCACTTCTAAAATGTGTTCCCCTTTACCGGTGAGGGTAAAGAAGAACCAAATCTTAAGGGTAAGCTCCACCCACCTGCTCCAGCAGCTGTCTAAGTCGCTTGAGCTGCGATTCCAGCTGTTTGTTGTGATCTTCCAGGATCTGCATGCGTGCCTCTAGACGGCCCTTGTGCTGGCGCAGAAGTTTGGCCTCTGCTATCAGCTCTGCATCACGGGGACTCTGAGGTGAGACCGGGAGCATCTGAGGAGGTGAAGGCAACGGTGACAAACCTTTGTGATCGTGTGCCTTCTTTAAGCGATCATACTCTGCTTGCAGCTTTCTGAAAGGCAGTGAAAAATTCTGAATGAAGACCAAGAAGATTCCTTCAAAAATAAAAAACATGTTGCCAATGCAAAAAAAAACAACCAATAACTACCAGATGCATTTGTTTAAACAACTAAATAGTTCACACCATTACAAATCCAAAGTATCATGGATTCTTCATAATGGAAATGGTCATGCACACGAACCTGTTCTCCTGCTCCAAGTCACTGAGCACTCTCTCGAGCTCGCCCTTCTCTTCTGTCTCCATGGAAATGAGGATCTGAGCCGGGCTCTGCGGCTGGCTTAGAGGAGAACCCTGATTCAGACTCTGGCAGTAATGCTGGATAAGCAGATGCTCATCATCCCTATGACAGTTCCACAAACACGATCATCATCACCAACAGCAGCAGCAAACTTCAAGGTTCTAGAAGCATTAGCAGCTTTAAACTCAATTAGCGTTTGAGCAGTAAACCGGTCTAAGAACAATGCTGTTTAATAGCTTAAAACTCCAGTATTGGAGCAGTTCTATGTAATCTTGGTGTTAGGATTTAATCTGAATGAGCCGGATATTATAAGGATTTAACACAGCTCTCTGTGGCTTTGTGAAGGAGCTGGTGCAGGTCCAAATTAACTTCAGTGTTGAATGATATGAGCAGACACTTTGTCATTCACTGAGACATTTCTAGTAATAATGAACGCAGATATGTTATTTCATACGAATTTGATTTGAAATGGACCGGAAACCAAAACTGCAATATCCACTCACCATTTGCTCAAGTGGTTAACGATTCTAATAAAAATGTTTAGTTGATTTAAAAGAAGGATGTGATTTCAGGGAATTCACTGAAGCAAACCCATCCCTGAACCAAAAGGTACTTAGATCTTACAATGTTTCTAACATGGCTAAAAACTTCGTAATTTGTGAATAACGATAAATTTGCAAGGAAATAAACAGAGGATGTAGAAATGATGCACAACTCCAAAAACATTTGCCTAGTATATAAACAAGTTTATACAGTAGGGATGAGTGATGTGCCTAAAATGTGTCAAATTCTTGTATTTACAATGATTCCAATACCAACTAGATGGATAAAGTTATATACAAACGCTGGTGACCTGGAAGTGCCATTTAAAAGCATTTCTATGGTAAACCATCTAGTTGCTATGGAGGAGTAAATGAAAATATGTTTCACCTTTTTTACCTAAGCAGAAAATTGGTTACTATGGTAAACAGCCTGGTGGCTATAGAGGGGTTTGTGATAGAACTTACACCATGAGTGATAGAAATGAACCCCCATGTCTTTATGATTTCCCAAAGCTGAGATAGAGTTCAGAAAATGTGGTTGCTAGGTTTGGTTGACAGTGATGTCGTATGTTTATTAACAAACAGACCTTCATTTCTCTATGATGCTTCATCTTGAAGATTTATTTGTTTACTTTTCCAATTTATAAATGGCCATTATAAGTCAACTGAGAAAAAAAACTGTAACACTGTCTTGAACACAGGGTTCAAATACTTTTGCACAGTGATTGTGAAGTTTGAGTTACAGTTTTACACATTTACAGGTTTACCGCATGTCAATTATTTTCAGATTTCTCTGCGATTTGCCAGAATTCCTCTGGAATTGATGCCAGTCTGAAAAGATATAGTGACACGAGTCAGGCCAGTTTGGATGTCTTGGAAAGGCCCTGTGGTTATAGCTCAAATGGTCTAGAAATGGTCTATAGCTCAGATGTGCCTAGAAATTTCTACAGAGTTCAATATATACTGCTTAAATTTCAAAATGTTTTGTGGGTCCTGGAGTTGTCTTGATTTACAATCTTCTGTTTTCTGATCATGTTTGAATTGACCTTCCCTTAGTGGGCAGCCCCAAATGCTGCCAGAGTATAATAAGATACAAAAAAATGTTTCGTATTTTGGCCATATATGCCATGGAGGTGTAGAGGGTGGCACTGTGGCGTTTCTATTAGAAGGTCTCTGACTCAAGGTACTCTGGTTTCCTCCAAATGACCAAGATCATGAGTAAGGTTAATTTAAATTCTCTAAAATCCCCTCAGGAGTGAACGTGAAGTGGCAGCAATACATCTGCCTCAGAGTTCCTCTTTTACAGTGATCTACCCTAACTTGGATGAGTGTTTGTGATGTTATGGATGAGGTGTTCTGTGCATGCTGAAAGTCAATGTTGATATTTTTGTCAGGATTAAAAACGAGTAGTATTGAAAGGGAGTTAATTCCTAAAATTATTTGCAAGATGCACAGGCAGACATTTGGTCTCATTTAGCTCTTAGTCTAAGCTATAAAAGTGTAATAACACTCATCATTATTTCTGCAAGGAAACACAATTTTAGTTTTATTCTGGTATTTGTCAGAGCTAAAATATCACTCAGCCCTAAAATACAGCGGATAAGTGTTAGGCATTTCACACACTATTACATAAAGTTATTAAAAAGAGATTAAAGAAAGAGTTGAAATGGTTGCAAGCTCACATGCTTTCATTGGGTGATATATTGTCATTCATATACGAGCCATTTCGGTTCTCCATTTCAGCTAGCCTGTGAAAACACAATGTTATTCAGAAACAGCTCATGCATTTGCTTTCATTCATGTCAGGCAGGCAGCACTCTTTCCAGTCCTCAAAGGGTTATGCCAGACCACAAGATTAAAAGAAAAGAAAAAGGCAACATTTGGGGTGCTTTTACAATAACAATGGTGGGGATTTTGACCAAAATTAAAGGGATTTCACTCCATGTGATATGTATCCAACCATTTCCATTCAAATGAAGTGCAGTCTATTCGTAACATAATAACTTTAATATTTTTTTTCCTACAGAGATAAAATCTGGACGGCACGGTGGTGCAGTGAGTAGCACTGTGGCCTTCCATTTAGAAGGTTGCCAGTATGAAGCTCGCCGATGACCTTCCTGGAAGGAGTTTGCATGTTCTCCACGTGCTTCAGTGAGTTTCTCCCGGGTACTCCGGTTTTACCCCACAATCCCAAAAACATGCGGTTAGGTTAATAATCTTTAAGGTTCTAACAAAATAACTTGTGTGCTAGTGATGGTTATAGAAACCAATAACTGGTACCATTCTGGTCCTGGGACTGAATTTACAAGAAATTGTGTTCTGCTCAGCATTACTGGTTTTAGTTTTATCTGTCCTTTTCATCCTGATGGAAATTTTAACAACCACAATTGCTTCATCACTGGGCTCAAGATTATGAAATCTTTCGTTTCAGTTGTCATTGCAGTCATCAAATTTAAGAGTTTTAATATTTTAAAACGTAACTATGATAAAACTAATTGAAAGGAGATTTAATAACAAAATGACAATGCATGAATTTAGAATAATAATAGTGAGAGCTGGGCGATAGGAAATGTTCATTAATACTATTAATGTATTATACTATTAGTATAATGTTTGTAATACTACTACATGATACAGTTTGGTCTAGTTATTACTTTGCTTGAAAATAAATAGAAATTGAACACAAAAATACAATGTGTACAGTTATTATAATGAATGGCCGGGTGTCACTTAAAGGAGTCCTTGATGACACTGTAGACTGGTTGTGTGCACGTGCAAAGAAATACCTTCGGTCTCTCTTAAAAACAGTTTATTTATTAATTTCCTGTAAGTTTTCCTGTGGCTCAGTTGGTAGAGCATTGCGTTAACAACGCAAAGGTTGTGGGTTCATATCCCAGGGAAAGCAAGAACTGACAGAAAAAAAAATGTGTTCATTCAAATGTAAGTCGCTTTGGATAAAAGTCTGCCAAATGCATAATTGTAAATGTAAATGTAAGTTCAGGGCTTGTATTAACATTTAAAGATACAAGGGAAGATATGTGTTGGATTTGGAGGACTATGACGATATTTTATTTGTGATCTCGTTGTAAACATACATTCAATGTTAGCGAGGGTTTCGGGGTATCGAAAATCAATCCGTAATCCGTGTCAGAGAGCAAGATGTCGAGTCACTCTGTTAAAATTGCTGCTGCCATTGTTTTTACATGTTACGTTAAAGATAAAATCAATTTTCATTCAAGCATATCAATGTACACAACATAATTAAGTTAATCGATAAAATTGATTTATCGCCCAGCCCTAATATTAGTGTAAATGAACCTCTTTCCTATTAGAGGTATAGCGGTACACTCTGCGCACGATACGTTACATACCTCGATAATCTTGTCTACGATTCAATTTGCATCAAAATATTTTACAACACTATTTGAACTAATTTTAAAAAATGTTTAAATAACGAACCATCACTGGAAAATGTTAATTTAAAAAGCTTTGAGACTGCAAAGCTGAGAAGGCTAGCATCTAGTTTGATTTGTATGAGAGCATTTTTACTCTAATTGATGGAGAGAGCTATATTTAAAATCTTTCTCGTTTAAAATGAAATTAAAGGCTGAAATTAAGTGTCTTTTAGTAAATGTTACATGCAGGTAAAGAATTTTCAGAAGTGCCTAGAATTTCAATCGTCCAGGAAGCAAAAACACTTAAGCTCCTAGACAAAATCTCCCAATAGATCCACGATACTCTTGTAACTATTGGTATTTGCGATATATTGCATGCCATGATATATTGTTACACCCCTATTTTCCATTAACCCATTTTTTCACTAATCTCTACAACACCCACATCTGTGCAGGGAAAAAATAATAGATAACCAAGATCTAATAGCTTGTGATGTTTCTGCTAACATACAAAGGACATTGCAAACAAACAATGTACAGTTGATTGTGGAAAGCATGGCCTCTTAAATCCCCAATTACGAGGGAACATCAATAGGGCCATGCTTGTAAAAGGCTGACCTGCTAGCGTAGTGCTCAATGCGTGAGTGGGTGTCGTCATGGGAGAGCTGAGGGGAAGATGATGGCCTGCCAGAGACACAGAAGATCGCAGTTCAGAAAACAATATCTACAGAACACATGAAACATCACCAAAGACCTTTCTAAAAGCCGGGGAAAATCTGGCTTCTCAAAGAATGCATTTCTCATTAAGAAAAACTATGATGTAACGCAAAAAATATTACTATTACGATCCTATTTCACTTTTGATCATCATTTTTAGAAGAACGAAAAAGCAAGAATGTTAAAACTCAATCGAGTTACTGTGGAGGCATTCTGACGCAATCACATTGCAGGATATTAAAGAGGAATCCAATGAACTATTGTTTGGCATTATACTGCCTCAAATCATCTAAATAATTGCCTTAAGATTCAGCTTAACTTCAGCTTAGGCATTTGCAAAAATATGTTCAAACTCCAGCTACTGGAAGTGTGTTCAAAACATGTAAACAATTCTATTTTCAACACAAATTTGAGCTGACATCATAAACATAATATAAAATTACACATCACAGTGGTATGCAAAAGTTTGGCCACCCCATAATTACAGTAAAAATATCATATAGAAGACGAAAACATATATATTACAGAAGTTAAATAAAATGAATATGATTAACTAGGCATGTCCATAAATTTGCATGTCATTTTTTTACATTTCAAAACCTTTAGTACTAATGATAAGCAATAATTGGTTTGGTAACCTCAGTGACCCTTGACCTCCATAGACAGGTGAATCCAACCATGAGAAAGTATTTAAAGGAGAAAATGGGAACCTCAAAACAACTCTCAGCTGAGCTGAACACAATGTTTGCTGTAGATGATGGTCTAGGGGAAGGATGCAGAAAGCTGTCTCAGAGATTTAAGCGCTCAGTTTTAACTGTGAGGAACATTGTGAGAAATTGGAAGACCAGAATCACAGTTCCAGCTATTTGCTGTAGATGGTGGCACTGTGCCTCGTTTATCAGTGCAGCTTACACAAGGAGATGCTGTATGGGTGAGTAATTCAAAAAAGCCTTTCCTCTGCACACAGTGTCGCTTGAGGTATACTAAAGCACATTTGGACAAGCCAGATTTGTTTTGGAGTAAGGTGCTATGGACTGCATAGATCTTGACATGACTCCATGAATCATGTAAACTTTATTGACTTCTGAAAAATCTTTTGCTACATTTTCGTACACTGTATATATGTAAAGGTTTAGACTCTATTTTACAGGATAACATTTTTCAGGATTTCAGTTGAATTATAATTTCAAAGGAAATTCTGTTTTGAAAAAAATTACAAACTCTCCTTGTTTTTTTTTAAATTGGATTTGCATCACCTGGAACTTTTAGATCTTTAACAACAGATAAATGCCACATGTATAATTTACTAAAACCAGGTTAATATACAATACATACTTAATGGTAAAAGACATTTGATGGGCAGCGAGTACCTAAACTTAACTTTAACCAGCAGATGGCAGTCTTCCTCCATAGCAGGGTAATACTTATAAAATAGATATGTATAAGGCCATGAACATGTTTCACGTATTTATTGTATTTAAAGTTGAATGTGTATTACAGCATAACACAACAAAGTGTTGTTTATATAATATATAAACTGTTAAACATTGCAGACCATTGTACTTTTGTGTCAATGAAGGAACATCAAACGAAAAAAGAGACAAAAACAAAGAGAGTTTGTTAAATATTGAGTAGGTCATAAAATAAAAATGTGATTTTGATCTTTTTTATTTGTTTAAAACTGGATACACAGTTTTATCAAAATGAAAAAAATAACGATACACAGATTTGCTATATAACAGTATATTTTTGAGGTAAATTTTTACCAATTAAAGACTCATATTTAAATCAAGCAATTTTTCAAACACCCCTGAATGTTTTTATGATGATGAAGAGTTTAGCGTGTCGTGACATAAAAGTTAAATATGAGACAGACGCATGTCCAAAAAAAAACACAAAAACAAAGAAATATGTTTTATGAAGACAGGACAAACTTTTGATGAATACAATCTTTTTAAACTTAAAAATGAAGCAATAAACATTACTTCACTCCAGGAACAACCGTTGGAACTAGCTGTATGCAAATGTGTGTACTGATGTACAGAGAGTACTCACGGGTGGTCAACAGGCCAGAAGTTGATCAGTGTAACAGGACTGCAAGACAAAAAAGATGAGATGATGGACAGGACAGATAGATGTACTGAAAGCATGGAGACAATGACGCTGTTGCACATAGCATTAGCAATGGCTGACAACATTGAAACATTAATCAAGGCTCAACCCTTCGGATCTTGTTTATTGTACACTCTTGTAACATGTTCGATTCTTGCTTCCACATGCTATATATTTCTAAAACAATTCTTGTTTTAGCATGCTTTGTTCTCATTTTTTGCCCCCTTTTATTCATGTTTTAGCTCTCAGCTCTTGTGTTTGCACGCCATGTTTATGTTTTAATGCACTCAGTTTGTGTTCGCGTGCTCGGTTCTTGTTTAGTGCCCTTGGTTCTAAAGTTAGCATGCTTGGTTCTTATTTAGTGTGCTTGGCTCTAGTTTTAGTTTGATGTAATCTTGTTTCAGGTTCTTGTTTTTATGTGTTTGGTTTTTGAGATGACACTCATTATTTTATGGAAGCTGTGCTATCACATACTGAACCCTTTCAGAAACCAAAGTTTTTATTATTTCAGCTCATTCTTGAAAAAACAAAACTACACATTTGATTCCACGGACTGGATATTTTGTACAGAGAAAAACTATAAAAACTAAAATAACATTAGTATGTGTGTTAAGTATGTGTATGTTTTTAGTTGAAAAAAAAAAGTGATTTGAAAGTAAGGAAACTTAATAAAACATCCAAACTGGGAAATAAATGTCATTTAATATAGAAAACATTAGCTGAACACTTGTCTAAATAATCTTTTGTACGAGTTTGTTTCAAACGTTTGCTCGACACCAGATGATTGAAGCTATTTTTGTTCTCTCTGACAATATCACTAGGCGCTAACTGTAACTTGTTATAATAACAGAGTGAAAATGGTCCCATCAGCTGCCAGGTGTCTGCTTAATTAACAGTTGCAGGGTAACACTCACACAAGAACAATGAAGCAAACACAAAAACAGTCTCACGTCTCCATGTTGTCTCCTTCCAGGATGGTTTGGACGGGAAGGTAACCCATGCGAGGATGCTTGGCAAAATAGCGCTTTGTCCTAAACTTGTTCTTCAACACCTTTGCAAAGTCTCTCACGTCTTCTCCTGAAGTTGTCTGAGGAAAAGATTCAAATAAATCAATCTTTTAAATTTTATTTTCAAATAAATATTGTTAATACAAGGGTGCAAACACTTACTGGTGTGCAATATTCAACCATAGGGTACTGCATCTTGTGGCCTTTGGCCACTCTGCCAGAAAAGAAGCAGCTTTGGCAGATATCATAATTAAAGTGCTTTAAACTTCGGTACCTGTAGAAACCAAAAACAGAGAACCCGTCAAGTTTCTTAGGAAGCAGTAGGTTTAGCTCAGTCCTGCAGGAGACTCTTCTGACATGCCCAATCTGCTATAACATCAATCAAACATTTTTTTTTCCACTTTCACAATGATGGAAAAAGTACATTTGTTCATACTTGATCCAAACACAAACTACACTAAAGGATTTATAACTATAATATGTGATATGGAAAGATGGAAACTCTCACAGAGGAAAAAATGCATTTTTCAGCATGAGGCACGATACCAGTAGCTTAGCACTGAGAGGAGGAGGAGCTTTAAGAATGAGTGACATGTTAGTGGTAGAAGTGTTGTATTTGTCAAACATTTCAAAGCTGCCTTAATGGCTACAAAATAAAGGGTTGGGATTCTTTA